ACCATATAATATTAACTACTTTCCCAAACTGAATATAGATTTCTACAAAACTGTTTTTGGTTTCTTTATGGATTCCTAGTCAAATTTTCATATGTACTTAATTGCATGGTATACAATCTGTTGATATTGACAGGATTATTTAAAATGACTACAGATAAATCATTTTCATAATTAATGACAATATAAGGCTACTAAATGGACAATTTAATTGACTTTAATGGTCAGTTCAGTTAAGTAATTTGTTTGAGCAATGTGAACATAGTCTAAGATGGTAAATTTTTTGAAAAATAGTAAAGCTTTACATGTTTCTATTTATATGTCCAGTCCACTTTGGCTTTTGGATTAGTATACCTATAGTAATAACCTACGTAGTTAATAATATTTTGTTCACTCTTACTTAGACATAAGAGTAATTCATCTTAATAAATATGGCCATAAAGCCATAAAAAGTAGAAGTGGCTTTGAATCCATAAAGCAGATCTGGCTTATACCTCTTTCCTAAAATGGGAAATACTGTACTATTTTCATTATCTACCTCCCAGGGGTGTGGTGAAGAAAGCGTTTTGTGAACCACAAAGGACTATAGAGAGGGGAACTAGAAAGGAACTAGAGAATTAACAAAATTACTTATACCACTAGTACAATACTTCTAAAAATACTGAAAAGCTATTATGAGCTATCTCATTACATCCATATTGATAATGAGCAAAGACCTAGTGTGAATTTCTCAGATCTGAAGAATGTATTTGTCAATTTTGATATGAAGCAATTTGTTTTTGTTTTTGTTTTTCAGTCTGACACAAATCACCCCCACAAGGGTCACTGTATTTGTAGGGCATCATAGCCAGGAAGTATATTCCACTGTTCCTGATGCTAACCACTGCGGTCTGTGGAAGAGTTCTACTTGGCACTTCTACCACAAGGACCCTGCCCCCCCCCAGTAATGGGCATCCAACACTCATACATAGTGAATGTAATCACTATCTAAATTATAGTAATCTATATGATTTGAGCACAGTTATGAGCTCTACCTGGAAAGGCTCAAAAACTTTCTTTAATCCCTTAATACTTGCAACAGTGCTCTGAACATAATAGGTATTTAATGTCTGTAGAACTGCAATGAATTTCTTGCATCATATCAATGCAAGGACAACATTTGGTGAATAGGCATTGCATCCTAATCTGAGGCTCATTTAAGAGGAAAGCCCCAAGCCCTGTCTTAAAAAGATCATCATGGTAGAAAGAAGAGATGAATACTATCAATAGTGGAACTTCAAATCAGAAACTTCTTTAAAAAGGAAAGACATAGTATCAGAATCTGGATATGCATATGTGTATGGATATACATGTGTATCCATGTATAATTTTTGTTGTTGTTATTTAGACTTGTGATTTCATCAAAGAAGACTTGGTGTGGAAATTCCTTCTAAGTGCATACCAGCAATTTGCCTAGTGTGTCACACAAGGTCTTCCTGACTCTAGGACCAGGTCTCAATTATATTGCATTGCCTTTCCTGTCTTTAGATGTAGATATTTTAAAAGATATGCAAATACATATATCTATATATGTGTAATAAAACAAGGAAAGCTTTTCTATTAAAGATACAAAGGCAATCAGTGCAAACTCACAAAAATGGACTTCACAATACACATAGGAAGCATAACTTTTTTTAAAAAAAAAGGAGTACATCTAGAAAAACATTATGTATATAATGTTATATATACATGTGCATGTATATATAATATATACATATAATATATGTATAAAATATATATTATATATAAGAATTTGTAAAATTGACATTTTTATTAAATAAAAATAAATAATTTCATCACACAAGTTCACATACCAGGTGCAAAAACAGTAAATTCTTTCTCAGTGCAATATTTCTTTTTTATCTTTGTGATTGAATTCTCTTTTCTAAACTGGGACAAAATTATTTAGCAAGAAGGGTAAAAAAGGCTTGAATCTGCCAAATCCATAAGACTGTCCTATCAAGTACTTTTAAACACGGAGGCAAAATTAAATCATGTAATCAGAAAAAGAAGCTATTTTCTCTCATCCTTTTTTCTTCATAAGGAAAGAAATTCTAGAAGTTACTAACTTTTGTGGGTGAAATTTCATTGTCATCAAACCTGAGCATTTCACTTCAACTGAAGTTTGTTAGGAGGAAGCACTCCTGAGCTTTAAGGACCCTAGGATTTTTCAGGCATGAATGAAAATAAGGCATGTTTATAGGATCACAGGATCAGAATTGGAAGATGCCTTAAAGGTAATCTCCTGTAAACCCTCCCATTTTACAGATTATGATACCAAGACACTGAGATTTTTTTAAAAATTGTAACTAACAAAGAAGGGATTTGAACTTAGGTTCTCTGACTCCAAAACCAGCACTTTTTCAATGCATCATGCTGCCTCCCACTGCTAAGCAGAAAATTAATCTACAGGACCATAGATCTAGAGCAGGAAGGGACCTCAGAAGACTGAATTGCTCTCTTTTTCCCTAACACACATTCTTTATTCTTTAGAGATATGGAAGTGTCCATTTCTCTGAACTGCATTATCCAGTCTTAGTCATTCCATCCTTTGTACATACATTCCTAGAGTCATTCTATCCTTATCCACCAATAATAGCAGCAGATACTGCTTGGGCAAAAGAAACAGGGTCCTTTAAATAGAGCAGTTAGATATAGTGGTTTGTTGTTAACTCTCTAGGTCATTTGAGTAATAAATACTAACACTGTAGATTAATATTCAAGAGGAATATTTTCTTCAGAAAGAAAATGAAAAGCACCACTTGTTTTTTATATCTACAATATTTTATGGCTCCATCACAGAGAAACAGGAATGCATGTAATGATTTTTGACTCAACTCAGGTTTGTTAGGAGGAGGTAGCCCTGTACTTCTAGGACCCTAGAATTTTTCAGGCATATTTATAGGATCACAAGCTGAGAATTGGAAGAGGTCACCTCATTTATATCCTCCTATTTGCCTGCAATGATGAACTCAATATCCATCTTCAGCATGATCCCAATCAAATGGTGCAAAATTATGGGTTGAGGATAAACCTACAAAGTATCCAATCAGCTGAAATATGAGTTTTGGTGATACAAGTGAATGACTTCAACTGATTTTTTTTCTTACAGAACCATGTACAATGTGTTTTGATTGTGTGAAGAGGATATGTCACATAAGAGCGAAATCAAGAAAAATGGTGTAAATAAATACATTGGATATTGTATCAGTTGGTCTCCGAGACTGCCAGGATTACAAAGCCGGTGTTATGCTAAAATACATTGCAAATGAAGTAACACACTCTAGGCAGTTGGAATATACAAAAAGACTGTTCAGTGAAAAGACATAAATTAAAACACAGAATTTAAACACAGCCATCACAGTCTGTGTCAGGAAGCCTGTCAGCTGGATTGGTATGAGTTGAATGACTTAAATCAAATAATTTTTTTCTTCTGCCAAATATTGAGTATCTTTGAAGTTAAATACTTCTAAATAACCATTTAAATCAATGGATTATAAGCATTCTTTGCTTTATGAAAACATAATACATAAAAATCCATGCTTCCATAAGATATGTCATGTCTACTAGTACTATAACATCAAATATATGTGGTTACGACTATTATAAAACTAAGATAAAAGGATACTCTGAAATTTCTCCAAGTTTAGCTCTCTGTGATTCTCTTTTAAAAATTATAATATGGTCTAAATGGCATTAGTGGTCTAAAAATTGTAAAAGGCTACATGTTTTCAGACTTTAAACTCATGTAACAAAAATTTGGTTGAGGAGGAGAGAAGCCTGCATGTTTATGGTTAATACAATAGTTTTTTTTTTTCTAGCATATTACTACTACAATAATATGCTTTTCATTTGGGAAAGAAGTCTTTAGTATGTGAAGTATGTTTGATATACCAATTATTTTTCTCTTTTAAAAAAATAAATTATTAACTTCTACATGGAAAAAGCCTTACTGACATTGATAGCAACCACATCTGGATGTGGTTAATTTCTGAGTGACACAATATGTTTTAGTAAAACCGAGTATTTAAGGTAATCAAAACACTAATTCCTTATGTAATATAGTTTTTAACAAAACAAAATAGACAAACAGCACATTACATATTTTCTGGTAAGAGGGATTCCAGGATATAGAGTTTTAAGTAGAGCTACAATACTATTTGTTGGGTGTCTTTCCTTATTAAGGAAAATATAGCCTCTCCAACAGCTATTTTTAGGCACATGAAACTCCAAATTTCACTTGCAAACCACAGGAAGAAAACAGTCAAGAATATATAGTTGACAATATTGTAAATATTTGATTTTTTTTGTAAATACTAAATTTCAGCACACCCCCCCACTGAAGTTTGAAAAAATCCAAATTCTATAGACATACATACATACAAAATGTGTTCTAATCAATTTGGCTGGCAACCTGAAAAATACAGGTACTAATATATCAGAGAACCTCTATATATGTTGATAAGTATTCTGATAATCTCTGCTCAACAGTTTTTAAAATTACGTTTTGTCATGGTGTTAGTCTTTTAAAAAATATATTGTCTACTATCAACAACAAGCTTATATTTTCCAGTAAAATATCCACAGCTCTTTCTGGAAAATGGGTGAAACTGAAAACAGCTGCAGACCTACTTTGGTCAATCACTTTATGTATAGAATGAATTATTTTTAATAGAATCAAGTTATATAAAATTATATATTTACAAACAGCAAAAATAAATCATGATCAAAAATTATTATGATGTCTTCAAAGGCATTTTTAAGAGGTAGGTGATCAAGGGGAAATAGGTTTGTACTCTTCAAATACCTTATGAGCTTACATTCATTTATTTTTCTACTCCTTTTAGGCCTAGAGGACTTAATTTTCAAGGATTTCTTTGTTATATTCCAAGGTTTGAAAAGCAGATTCTGCCCATAATTTGAATCAAGAAAATAATTACAATGAAGTTTAGATTTTTCCACCCAAGGTATGTCAGTGGTGTCTTGCTCAATTGTTTTTCTAAACAAAATCATAACCATGTGCTAGCATTTCTTTAGAAAACACTGCTTGAATGCCGAGGGTCTCTGTGACAGTAGACATCCTTTTGCTAATTTTTTGTGTCCATCTTGGCACTGCACAGTCCTGGTGTGCCAGCCTGTGTCACATGTTCTAGAACAGGAAAGCCACGGGCCAGTAACCCACTGTAGCTGTGAGGTCTGTGATCCCATTTTATTGCTTCCATGATGACTGACTGAGTTTGATTTGGATGTTGACTTTTTGGGAACGAAGAAGCTATAGCGGACATCTACTGCTTTGCTTGGGTCTGTTGCAAGAATCTGAACTATAAGAATCTCTTTTGTAGCTGAATACCCCATCCCATGCAAGAAGTCATCCTTGTGGCTCCAACCACTGTAGTTCATGACAGTCCCATTGATGTCAATAATGGTCTCTGATGTAGATATCATATACTTTCCATTGATCAAGTACTCACCATTTTTCTTTTTCAGGGCTAAGTAAGCAGTGAATCTGTTCTGGTCTTTTGCCTTGAATTGTCGAACTTTGATGTGAGTGGCACCTTCAGGTATCCTTACTACATCTGTGTAACCCTTACTAAGAGACAAAGAGACAGAGACAAAGAGAGACAGAGAGATGGACAGAAAAGGAGAGATAGAGAGATGGAGGCAGAGAGGGAGAGACAAAGACAAACAGGCACAGAGACAAAGAAACAGAATAGGTAAGTAACTGATGAAACAAATGGATATTCTTTGAAAGTCCCATTTTAACTTGGCATTGCATTTCAATTTTGTCATGATTTGTAGTCTAGGGTAATTTAGTCAAACTTTTCACTTTATAGAAAAGTAAATGGAGATTCTCAAAGCTCAAAAATTCATCTAAGATTACCAAGTACCAAGGTTGGGATTTGAATTTAGATATTGTGAACCCTAGTACGGCACTCTTTCCACCACACCCAAACATAGCTTTCTTTAAAGCAAATTTCTATAAAACCAGAAAGGATAAGGATTGGTACTTCATTGATTTAGAGACCTCTCTGTGAAGAGGTTGGCTCCTTTCCTGAAATATATAGTCTTAGACTTAGAAAGTTGCCTTGTGTAGGGTCACATAGCCAAGTGTCAGACTCTATCCACTAAACCATGATGTCTTTTTATAAAATTAGAAACTGTTTCTTTTAAAATTTCCTCATTTCAATAAAATATTAGTTAGAACATGCTCCATTATCATATCAATTTTTATTTAAAAATTCAATTTTATAATATGGTGTATTAATGAAATGGTTAATAATGGGATTAGGTATAGGATTATTAGAATATGTTCTCGTGTAGAGGTGGGTTTAACTGGGTATGTGTGGTGTGTAAGTTTTCCTCGTTATGAAGTTGTTAGTATGTGAAGTGAATAAAGTGCTGTAATGGTAGTGTTGGTACCTAGTAGAATGATGGAAAAATTGGATCAAGAGAAGGATGAGGTAATTACTAGTAATTCGCCCAGGAGGTTAATGGTTGGTGGGAGAGCTAGATTGGCTAAGCTGGCTAGGAGTCATCAGGTGCATGTTAGGGGAAGGATAGTTTGTAGTCCTCAGGCTAAGATTATGGTTCGGCTATGGATGTGTTCATAATTTGTGTTGGCAAGGCAGAATGGTATGGAAGATGTTAAACCGTGGGCGATTATTAGGGCTGTGGCACCTATGAGCTTAGTGGTGATTGTATGAGGGTGGCGACGATTACTAAGCCTATGCGGCTTACTGAAGAGTAGGCAATTAGGGATTTTAGGTCTGTTTGACGTAGGCAGATAGAACTTGTTATGACTAAACCTCATGATGATAAGATAATGAAGGGGTAGGAAAGATTTGTAGTTAGGGGTTCGGTGAAAACTGTAATTTGTATGATGCCATAGCCACCAAGTTTTAGTAAGATGGCTGCTAGGACTATTGATCCTGCAATTGGGGCTTCTATGTGTGCTTTTGGTAGTCAGAGGTGGAGGCCGTATAGGGCTAACCCTAGATTCTTAAATACCATATCTATATAAAAGTTCTGTTAGCTCCTACAAACCTAGGATGGCTTTGAATAGAGATCTTATAACAGACTGAAACAGGTTATCTGAGAATTGGTTTAGCTAAGACTGGAGTGTCTCATCACCAGACAGGTGGCCAGGAAATAATGCTTTTGTTTTTCTATAGCAATTCATGAAACCATCTGTAGAAGGAATAGATATACTAACAAAATCACAAATACTTTGAAGTATCAAATGACATGATGATATACAATAATTCCATATATTTAGTTTCCACTTTTCTTTTTGAATCTTAAAGAATCTAAACAGATTCATTCTTACAATTTCAGGAAGGTAAATAGAGATGAATGCTCTATTTTATAGCTGAGTAAACAAAAATATAAGTGGATGAAATGTTTTTCTCCAAACCACAACTATAAAAAGATGAAAACAGAACCTACCCCAATTTTTAGTCCTTCACTTTGTCAATGGACAATACTGTCAATATAACAGGGACAGCATGCAGTGTTGGTAATGATAAAATGTAATAACTTACTCATCATTTTGCTATGAGCTGTCAAAATAGCAATAGTTTAGATAAAGTAATTTTTGTGTTTCTCATTTTTACTTTTACCATATTTTCTTAGCTACAATTCCTTTCTTAAGGTCCATCGTATTGGGATAGTAGTAAGACTATAGTAGCAAGAACAATGGACTTAGGTTCAGAAAATCTGAGTTTAAATCCTTTCTCTAACAATACCTAGCTATGTGACTATGGCCAAGTCATTTTATTTCTGTGCCCCTGTATAGTAGAAATAATAAAACTTGTATTAAGTACCTTGCATGGTTTTGTGAAGATGTATATATTATAAATATTAAACTCTATAGAAACGTAGAGACTTTCTGAGAAAAGGGTATTTGTGTAAATTCTAATACTCCTACCCTGAATAGAATCTCTTTGAGGGAAGGGATTGTCTCATTTTAAGAGTTCTTATCCTCAATGCCCAGCACGTAGAAAATATTTCATATTTATTGAAATGAAATGAATGTAGATAATAATCAAGACAAACTTCTTATACCAACTCCCATATAATAACAATAGTGTTGTGATAAGAGTATATTTTATTATCATAGCCTCAGTCATGCATATTTTTATTTGTCCAGCTCAGGGTTTTTTTTCTATTATGAATTTTTTGCTGATATCAGAGATTTTACTTCTCATTTTTCTGTTCCATGGTTGGCACCCCCAATGTAACCTGGATACCCAGGCAAACCTTGTCTGCACCACTGCTATACATATATGAACTAAAAGGCAATAGAGGTGTATAGAATTGGAAGGGACCTGTTAAGATTATGTGTGCATTTTAAAGATATGAGATCATTGATCCCATATAATTAATACAAGCTGTGAGTTATTATTACTACGGAGCATTTGAAAGACCTTCCTAACTTAAGAATCTATTTCAGTTCTTGATGACTATTTTACTTGCGTCCTCAAGGCCAGAGAACATCCCTCATAGCTTGAAGATGGCATGGCTCCACATTCACAGATCCCAGAGCTTTGCACCACTTCTCTTTTGACTTCATACTCACAATTTGCTATCAGAGCAACACAATACATTGCCACCTAACCTCTATGGATTCATACTTCTTTACTCATAAGCATATGTAAAATATGTTACTCACTATATCCATTTGGAAATTTAAAATTTTGAATACCAAGCTTAATTATAATAATTAATTTCACATTACCTTTTTTTAGTAAATGTTCCCATGACCTTTGTACAGCTGGAATTATCTCCTCCGCATACACCACACTTATCATATTGGAGCTTTGAACCAATAATGTTGTCACAACCAGTTCTTACACATTTCCCTTGAACACAGATTGAATTACTGTATGGTCTACATTCAGTGCCATCCTTCACCTAGGTAATTAAGAAAAAAAAAACAACTTAGAATTTCAATAACTTGGTTCATTTGGTGCACCTATAATTTCTACTTTGTAATTTTAAAAAGTTTGCTTTGAAGGATGGTGAGCCCTCAAAGCACGTAGTTCCCAAAGCAATGAACTGAATGGTCGTGGGCATTTTGTTGGGTGATTCCAGGCAAACCTTTAGTTTTGTAAATCTAGAGATCTTATTTATCAAGTGATCCAAAGTCCTTAATTCCCTTTTTGTATATGCAACCCTTTCCAAAATTAATATTTTCTCTTTCATTGTGGTTACTATGAAACCTTCTTCAGCTAGTGGTGGGGAATATTGTTTAGCAGCTAGTCAGTGTAGGGGGTGGGGGACGGATTAGCTAGGGATGTGCTAGCAAATGTTTAATAATTGACTGGAGCATGTTTGAAGTGGCTCCAGCATTACTCTGGTGCCACTAGGAAAGCTGAGATGTTAGTGTATCATCATTATTAATTTAAAAATAATCATCTCAAAGTTAAAACTAATATCTCAATTTAGAAGGATTCAACATTTTCTAGTTAATGGTACCAAATCACGATGGAGATGAACAGATGAAGACATTCTTGGTCAGTCTGAGGAAGTAACTCAAAAGACAGACTGATTGTGATCTGATCAACAGACTCAGGAGAATTTGCTTTGGTGCACATTGACAAGATTCATTAACCATTTTCATCTGATAATGTCCATTTATTGCATTTTTGTTTTGATTCATAAACTCCAGAAACAGTGGTTTTATAGATATGTGGTTGAAAAGAGAGAGAAAGAGACAGAAAGAGAGACAGAAAGAATTTAAAAATTCAATTTAAAATTGAAGAAAATTTGTTAGGGATGAACTAATTTAAGTTCCATTAGGTTATTTACCATTTAGAAAATAAAAACTTTTGAGACAGATTTTCATAATTATTCCCATGGAGCACTTACTTGTTTGGTTTGGACTTTTAACATATGTTCCTACTCTTAGGGTAGAAGCTCCTTCCTTTTAGATCAGAAACTCATCTAGAACTTAGAGTCTGAGAGAGTTGCCTACAGGCATGGAGGCAGTATTTGCTTATGGGCAAATTAATGAAATTTGCCTCTCTTCCCAGCACAAAGAGGTTGAGGACTATTTGGTCTGTATGTGGTCACTACATGAGATGTTTCTGCTTAGCTGATTTTATTTGTTATGAGAAAGGATTCAATCTCAAAGGATTTTTTTTCCTCTAGAAATGATTGTAGTATAAAGACAAAAGGCAACTTGATGTTTTAAAGAGAATAGCTTGGAGGGTAAGAGTCTAGGTGACTTGCTCACTGTCCACAGCTAATATAATAGCAGAAACAGGAGGGCTTCAACTCAGGTACAACTGATTTATCAATTTTATAATTTTGAAAACTGTGATTTTTTATCTGTAAAAAAATCTAAATCATAAAAAGAATATTAGATTGCTATGAAGTTTAACCAAGTTAACCAAAAAGGTATATGTTTATTGTCAAACTTTTACTTATGAAGGATTTAGGGCCTTGTGAAGTAGCTGTGTTACCATATATGTATGTGTATGTATAGTTATCATAGGACTACATCAAAGATCCATAGTGTAATTGTGTAGGAATGCCCTCCAACAAACGTAGGTTACAATCTATCATTTAGTAGATAAATGTTATAATTGCCTATGGTTCAGAGAGATTGGCATATGCCCATGGATTTATAGCTAGTAAATGTTAGAATTGTGGTTAGAATCCAGTTCTTCATGAGTGCACATCTAGTGCTCTTAACAACTACAAAAAACTGCTTCTTAAGGAGAAAGAGGGGCAGTAGGTGGCGCAGTGGATACAGCACCGGCCCTGAAGTCAGGAGGACGTGAGTTCAAATCCGACCTCAGACCAAACACTTGACACTTACTAGCTGTGTGACCCTGGGCAAGTCACTTAACCCCAATTGCCTAAAAGCCCCCCCAAAAAATTTAAAAAAAAAAGGAGAAAGAGATAGAGATAAGAGAAAGAGAATTAGAGATAAGCTCTTAATCAATAATGCTGTCACAAACTTCCCTTGAATACAGATTGAATTACTGAATGGTCTACATTTAACTCTGTCCTTCATGGAGGTTATTGAGAATATGTTAATTTAGAATTTCAAGACTGAATACCTCTCTGGTTCGTTTGGTATACCTGTAATTTCTGCTTTGTCATTTTAGTTTTCTTAGAAGGATGGCTGGAAACTGTAGTCAAAGCATATAGTTCCTAAAAACAATGAACTGAATTGTTTTGTTAGGTGTTTTGTTAGGAGATTCAAGGCAAGGCTTTAGTTTTATAAAACTAGAAATCTTATTAGGATATCTAAAGTCCTCAATTTTCTTTTTGCATGCATAACCCTTATCCAAAATATGATATTTTATTTTATTTACCTAATATTTATTATATACCCAATATTTAATGATATATTTGGTTAAAGGCATAGAAGTGAAGGTAGAAATAAAAACAAGTAAAGCTCTTTTATGTTATTCATTAAGAAAATCTTTGGGAAAATATACAATAAATAGTAGCACTTAATTCAGTAAACGTATAAAGGAGGAAGGCTGTTTTATATTAATTACTGTGAAAATCCTTGGAAAATAGGTATATGTATCTTCTTATATGTATTCCTTAGTAACTAGGTTTAGTTAACCTAATAATCCTAAAGAAGGTATTGTTTGGTGTTTGAAGTATTTGCTGTTGTGAAATTTGAGTACCCAATCACTCTTTCTGTCATGAAGTTTGTATTACCAAACAATTTAAACATAAAGAATAAGTAAATGGAGACAGCTAGGTGGTGCAGTGGATAGAGCACTGGCCCTGCAGTCAGGAGGACCTGAGTTCAAATCTGGTCACAGATCAGATATTTGAAACTTGCTAGCTGTGTGACCCTGGACAACCCCATCTGCCTTGACAAAACAAAAAAAATAGAATAAGTAAATGTAATTACCTTTGGGGAAAATACCACATAGTAGCCTGTTCCTTTGGCTCTACAGGTCAGCTTGCACACATCTGCGGGCAGAACTCCTGCATATTTGGGGACCCACTCCACAAATGTCTTGATCCCTTTTATATCTGATTGAAATCCATTTTTAGCTTCACATTGTTCCTGACGAAAGGCTTTAGCTAGAAAACAAACATTTTAGCGTTCATATATTTGTATCTATATTTGATGTAGGGGCCAAGATATTAGGACTTTCCTGTTAAGCCTTAACATTTGGAGATTTTATTTTAAGGACAAGATGTAAACATCAGCCCTGATTTCTTTCTTTTTCTCTTCACTAAATATTCATATACTTTACTTAGAGCTAAGAATGAAGTTTTCTCCCAGAACTTTGGCCATCATCATCATCATCATCTTTAATGCCATGCTACTGAATTTTTATCATTATTAAGTTATTTTTTTATACTTCTCAATTACAGAACAGTATATAATTGCACTTTTTATATAGGAGCCAGGAGGTCCTAGAATGGCATTTCCTAAAAGTGTTCTTCCACTTCTACAACTTTTTTTATGTGGTATCATCAATATGAGTAATCTTGCCAATGAGGCAGGTCACCTTATCCTGTAAGATTAAGCCCTGTCTGCTAATGTCTACAACTATTAAAATGAGAATACAAGACAAGTATCATGGAACATACCATATGTTGGACATGCTGTGACGCTGCAGGAGCGGTAGATGGCTCTCTTTCCAGTGCAGTATCGTCCATTGTTTCTAGGTGCTGGGTTATTACAATGGCGAAAAGCAAACTGAACTCCTCCCCCACATGAACGGGAACATTGGCCCCAGGAACCCCAGGAACCCCAGTTGCCATGGTTTGATGTCTGAAATGCAAAATAGAAGATGTTTCAAATGGAAATAAACATCTTGCTACGATCTATAATATCCTTTGGGGAGACGTTGGGAAATTACTGTTTTGATTTCAATTTTCATAGTAGTCATAGGATTTGTGGCTGAGTGGGAACTTAAGGATAATCTAGTAAACCCTACCTCATTCTATGGATAGGGAAACTGAGGCCAGCATAGGGCTAGTCACATATTCAAGGTCACACAGGTAGTGAGCAACCAGGCCGGGATTCAAATAGGGTTTTGGACTTCAAATTCTGTTTGCTTTCTACCATACCATTTCACCATGTCAAACTATGAGATGTTGCAGAGACTGCAGAGTCCAGAATGGATACAGTGATTATATACAAAGAGTTAACTAAACAGTCACTTGATCCTTTCCTAGCACAGCAGGATCCAAGTGGTTTTTATTATCTAAGTGCCCAGTAAAAGGAAGGCATCACCTCACAGTACCTGACTGTGGATTTTAATATAGCATTTGTTTCAAACAGAGCAGGCTCAGAGCCATCTTGTTACCTACTATTACCCTGGGTTGTCCTCTATTCTTTTACAAGTATTGATTTTTTTTTCTCTCACCAGATTTTCTATGCAATAACTGTAAGCAAAGCCCTGCTATTGATAATGAATTTATTCTGTAGCAGGGAAATCTAAAGAATCTGATAATTAGGTCCAAAAATTGATTCATAATAATAACTTTAGGATGCTAGGCTTTTTAAATATATTATTTCATTTGATTCACATAATATTCTAAGATATATATGTATATATAGAGAGATATGCATATATCTATGTCTATATCTACATCTACATCACATCTATATCGATATAATTGCTGTCTCCATTTCACAGATGAGGTAACTGTCTCAAAGATGCTAAGTTACCCATGGTCATACAACTAGAGTACACTGTCAGTGATGGGATTGCGGCCATGTCTCTACTGGTACTAAGCAAGGTATTCTTTCCATTATATGTATGCTGCTTTTTCTTGTGAGTCATACATCCGTTCATAATTACAGAATATTAGAGCTGAGGACAATGAAGACATGAAGACAAAGAATACAATGTCTACCTGTATAGTGATACATTGAAAAATTAGTAATTTCATCAGTATGAATCTCACCACCACTATAACAGATCAAAGCCCCTTCATCTTCAGTATTTGCCCTGGTAGTCAATCTGCTAGTGATAAGCCTGTCCACACTTAGCCAGGCTGTTCTTTGAATGACTGCTGGATATCAAATGTTGACAGGCTGTTCTTAGGAATTCTAGCTCAGTAAGATGTGTTCTACTCTCATAATTTGTGCATGAGATATAGCATAATATCAGGACTTTCATGGAGAGTCAAAAATGCAGACAAAAAGAAAGAGACCCTATGTAACAATTTTGGTTTTCTTTTGCCCTGTAACAAAGTCTGGCAATGATCCAAATTCCTTTGGTTAGTGAATTTTGTGGAAGACTTGTAATGACTATAGAAACAACCCAGAGTGTTTCTAAATACTACTAGGAAGGGCATATATGGAGGTTGTGTGACTGCCTTGTAAAATAAAACAAAAACGAAAAACAAAAAGTGATGCTCCGATCCTGCTGTACTGAGGACCTGAGAAGGATTAGAAGTGAGAAATAGAATATTTTGCTCTATCTCTGCAACCAAGGGTAGTAAGTGTTGGCTTGAAATTAGGAGTTGTAGAGTTACTCTAGACTAGGGGTCTTTAACTGCTTAGGTGTCATGGATGCTTCTGGAAGTCTGGTTAAGCTTATGGACTCCTAAGTATCTTTTGTGGCTTACATTCATAATGGAAAGAAATGCTTTTAGTTAGAGGTCAGTGAAAATACACATTTTTTTCCCATCCAAGTTCACACAGCCCTTGAAATCTATTTATGGACCCCTAAGGGGTTCATGAGCCACAGGTTAAATAAGAACCTCTGCCCTAGACTCTGTGGTAAGGACAAATGACTACTTAGAAAAAAAATAAACAAGAGCACCCACACTGGTGCTACCATGATTTGTAGAGTGGTGTAAAATTTTTAGAAAGAAAAGCACTAGATTTGAGCCCTAGTCCTGTCAGACTACATCAGCCGTGTGACCCTGGACATGTCACCTCTCTCCTCTGGGCCTCAGTTTCTTAATCCGTAAAACAAGAGGGGCTGGAATAGATGATTTCCTTCTAGCTTTAACATTCTGTGATTCTGGTCTCTTAGTGGCAGCTCTGGTATAATGTCCTCAAGTGAATTTAGTTCTGTTCTGGATCTGGCTTTTAGTCTGCCTCTAACTGCATGACCCAGGGCAAGCCATTTAACTTCTCAAGAACTCAATCAATTTCTTCATTTTAAAAATTAGGGAGTTGGACTTTAGGATATTTACCGTCTCTTCAAATTCTAAAATTCTTTGAAATGCTAGTAATATCAGAATGCTGAAGTATACACAACATAGGTTTCCATGTAATATTAAGTGTCTACCCCATTTCCCCAGCAGTCGATTTCCTTCAACAAGCATTTGCTAAGCACTTACTATGTGCAAGACACTATGCTAGGCATTAGGCATATAAATAAATGACCACTATGGTTAAAATGAGCAGTCGGAGGTAGAATACAAATTTCCAAATGGAAAACACTTTCTTCACTGAATATTTTTGAAGATTTCTTATGGCAGTCCTAGCACATGCCAAATAAATCAACATCATATTTGAATTTCTGGATGGTGTACAATATAGAAATAATGTACCAAATAATATTTTTTCTTGGTTTTGTCGACGCACTTGCCCTGAAGGCAAATCCTGCTTTTCCCACATGGCGTCCCTTCCACAGCTGGCAGCTTCTTGGTCAGACACACCATTTGGCCCTGTCGAACAACTGCACACCACAGGCGAACACAGACATCCATGCCAGGACATACTGTGTACTCAGGCCCAAATGCCAGCTTGCATTGATGGATAGCATCATATGTCTGTCCTGGGAGCTCTTCAGGGCCCAGGATCTGCTTTCTTGGTAAGTCCAGCAAACAGTTACCTGAAGGGATAATCCAGGTTTCGTTATTACTTTGTTTCTAGGCTTCAGACTAAGTTAAATTATGACCTCAAAAATAAATACACAGGCAACAGCTGAACTGAAGTATTATTATGAACCAATAATCATATTTTGCACCTGGCAGGAGAAGCAGCCTAGAGAAAATGGCTAAGGGGTGTGGCTTCTCTGAGCATGCTCTTGTATCCTCAACTGTGTCAAAAAGTCATTTAGTTTCTCTGGGCCTCAGTTTCCTTACTTGTAAAATAAAGGAATTGGAGAAAATATCTGAAGTCCCTCTCTAGATGTAAGCTTCTGTATCTCTATATATTCAGGAACATATGAATTTTAATAAGATACTTATACAAAAAGTCTTCAAGATTCAAAGGGATGAGAGAAGAGTCAGTATTTGGGGGCAAAGGTAGGCTTGGTTTGGAGCCATCAGACTGAGTGGGTACTGCCTACTCATAAGCCTGACCTTGTTTACTCTTTCTCTTATTTCAATATCCTTTGGATTCAGCTTTTACAGGAACTTGTACTTGTTACACATTATTGCAAAAATAGCAAGGGCTGGATTATAATCTTGGATATATGTCTGCTGAGTTACCCTAGCTACCTCTCAACCACTATGTGCTTTAGTTTCCCCACCTATATAATAATGGCTATTCTTACTTTCCTGAAATATTTTGAGGATAAAATAAATGTTAAATATTCAGGAGAAAGATAAAATTACCATTCATGTGGTAGATTACAACTATTCAATTAGTAATGTGTTAGTAAACAATTATTAATAAAATTGATGAAGTTATCATTTAGTGTTAATAAGTTAGTAGTAAATTACTGATGACCCAATTAAAAATGACACAATTCTAAGAATGTGAAGGACCTGACAGCTTATCTAGTCCAAATCCCTAATCAATGAATGAATCCCTTCTGCAGGATCCCTGACCCTTGGTCATCCAGTGTCTACTTGGATTTGTCCTTTGACAGGGAACTCACTACACTAGTGATGTTCACACATACAGCAAGCCAAAATAGGTTAAAAAATCATCATTTTCATGTTTAAATACAGTAAAATTCAGGAATTGTTCATGCATTGCTGGGGAAGAAGGTCAACATCATAGGCTTTCTGGGACAGCCATTCCATTGAACTCCACGCATCTTCTCCAGCAGATTCCACACTGGTTGCTTTGTCTCCTTCCACCTCCTCTTTCCAGCTACAAAAGCCAAATCCTTAGATACTACAACATGACTGAACTTATTCCTCAATGATTAATATACTCCCATCCCATTAAATCCTCCCTATCCTATGGCTCAAAACTTGTTATCCATTCCCCACTCCCTTATTCTCATCTCCCTCAATCCAACCCCTCCAACATCCCACTTTAAAGCTCCCCTCTCCTTCCACTGTGTTCTCTGGAATGCCTGTTCCATAGTTTGCTTTCACCTTAAACCTTTTTTTCCTTCCTTACTCTTTCCATCTTCTTCTACTCAATGAGACCTGGTTCCTTCCTGATGACACAGCTTCCCTGACCACCCTTTCCGGTACCAGTGGAAAGTTTCACTCACGTCCCCTGACAAGTTACTGTTCATGGTAGAGGAGCTGGAATACTCTTTGTCCCCTAGTACCACTTCCAGGGTCTCCTGTAACCATCATGTCTCCTTCTTTGGGGTTATTCAGTCACCCAACAAGGATTCTGGTAGCTGTTATCTACCAACTTCCCGGAAACTCCTTTCTTCCTTAATGAGTCCAGTGCCTGGCTCACAGTCTTCTCCTCTCCATGTATGTACTAAGGAACTTCAATATTAATATTCTCTCAAATACCCTAACCTCCCAGTTCCTCCATTGACTCATTTTCCATTTTCCTCCACTCCACCTCAGCCATTCACTGAAATGGTCATACCATCATCTAACAACTGTTTCACTACCAGATTTGGAAACCCTGGAATTCCTTTAGCTGATCATAATCTGTTGCCCTTCCACGTCTCCTCCTGCCTTGTACCCTCTGACTCTATTCTTTGTCTTCACTGTAACCTCTGATATCCACCCTCAGTTCTTTGCCAGGCTTTCACCCCTGGGCTAGCTGTATTTTCCTCCCTTCCCCATATTGACCCTGATTCTGCCTTGCTCTGCCAAACCTCAACCTCAGATTATTCTCACCATCTACTGTTTAAACTTCCATTCACTTGCTGCTGAATGAAAGAAAAAATTTTTTTAAAAGCCCAAAACCAAAAAACTGCATAGGCTGGGTCCACTACAGCCTTGTTATATATCATCAACTAGGTTCTCGCTTCAGCAATCCTGACGTCCTTCATCAATTCACTATCCCACTCATCAGAAGCTTTTCCGTACCTTTTTACCCCTCTTCAAATCTCCCATGGCTCACTTCCTCTACCCTCTCAGGCAAGAATTTCAACTCCATATTTGACTGAAAAAATGAGGTTATTCATCAAGAGCTCCATTTTCTCCTCTCCTCCTCATCTCACATCACTCAGATTTTTTTTGATCACTGTCTCCTTCTTTACCCCTTTCTCTCAGGAAGAGATGGAGCTTCTCCTAGGTAAGGCAAAACCCCTCTGCTTACACAAGTAATCCCATTCCATCCCATCTTCTCCATCAGATTGACTCCTCTTGAGATAGATGATTTTAATCAGACCCCTATTTTTTCCTATTTTACTCCAATCAGTATTAATCAGTTTGGTGTTATTCCACAGTGGTAGTAATTATAGTGATATGCTTATCTATTAATATACATTTAGTCAGTCTAGTCAACTAATGCTAGTATATGAATTAACTCTATTAATTCATATTTTACATATATTTAGGGATAATTAGATAAGATTGGTTCTTTCTGTAAGATCACTTTAAACTACAAGCTAGAAGTACACTTGTTGTAAAGTTCACTTGCTTAACCACAAGAATGCTGGCTAGGGTACCTCCACCCTTTGGCCTGTAGGAGCAAGGCCAACATGGGTGTGAAGAGAGTAGGACTTTGGACCTCCACCCTCTTTTGATTAATTACCTTGACCATGTCCTGTGTGGATGTCTTGACGTGATATGGAAAGTTCCCCAACCTATTTTTGTACCTCCAGACCACCCTCTCTTGCCCAACATGAGGCGAGGCCCATCTTATGACCACTTAGTCAGTGGAGATGATCTTTGCCTTGCCTATTCTGTGATGACCCATGCTGATGCATCATTTCTGGCCCTCCTAGAGGGTCAAGAGCCACCAATGAGACTCCAAAGTTTTACTTTGCCTCTTCCGTGTGTCTGGTTATCAAGCACTATAAAAGTAAAGCCCTGGAGACAGGAGGCATCTCAGATAGTGAGGAAGATACGAGGTTCTATTCATTAAAGGTGGCCAGGTCCCTTTAATAAATGGTCATTGGCTCAGAACTCCAGCTCAATTTCTTTTGTTGTAGACTGCGCATTTTGGGACCCCCTCCGCTAACATCTTTGCCATTTTGTTTACTTTCATTATCTCCCTACTAGCTGATTCTGTACTGACTACATATGTTATCATATCTCTCCCATCAAAAAACAAACCCAAAAATCCTCAAAACCTTAATTTGATCTGTTAATTTGCACTGCCTATCATCCTATAGCTCTCCTCTATTTCCCAGATAAACTTCTTGATGAAGGCATCTACAAGTGGTGACTGCAGTCCCTTTCCTCTCACCACTTCCCAACTCTCTACAACCTGGCTTCCAATCTCATTAGTCAACTAAAATAACTCTCCAAAGTCACCAGTGATTTCTTAATTGTCAAATTTCATGATCTTTTCTTAATTTTCATTCTTGAACTCTCTGCACCCTCTGATACTATCAAAGACTTTTCTGGCTAAAATCCCAGAGAAGGCAATTGATACTTCCAATTTCCTTTCTTCTTACTCCTTTTTTAACTCTCCAAGGTCTGGCTTTTGACCTCATCCCTCAATTAAAACTGCTCTACCCAAAGTTACCAATAATCTCTCAAACGCCAGATCGAATGGCCTTATCTCAGAGATTCTCAATCTTCTTGACACTGCCAATCACCCTCTTCTCCTTATAACTCTAGGTTTTTGTGACACTGTTCTCTCTTGTTTTTCCTACCGGTCTGACATTTCCTTTTGCTGGATCTTCATCTATGTCATACCCATTAACTGCAGGTATCAACTAAGATTCTGTGTTGGACTCTTTTCTTCTCATATCACTGGTTGATTTCATCAGTTTCCATGGTTTCTACTATCATGTTTAAGCAGATGATTCTCAGATTTGTTTTTTTCAGCCCTAACATCTCTCCTGACCTCCAGTCTCAAATTTCTAGTTCCTTATTGGATATTTCAAACTGTATAAGACATATAAATTCAACATGTCCAAAATGGAACTTATTATTTTTTCCCCATTATCCCTTTTTCCTAACTTTCCTATTAGTCTATAACCTACCACCATCCTCCCACTCATCCAGGGTCACAAACAACTTAGGCATTGTCCTTCACTCCTCAGTCTCAAACCTCCCCCTTCCCCTATATCCAATCAGTTGCCAGGTCCTGTTGTTTCTACCCTCACAACATCTCTTATTTACTCCACCTTCTTTCCTCTGCCTCTACCACCACCTCATTCCTGAACTATTGCAACAGCCTGATGCTTTGTCTCCCTACCTCAAGTCTTTCACCACTCCAGCCCATTCTCTACTCAGCTGTCAAATTGATCTGTCACTCTTCTATTCGATTAAATCCAATGATTCCTTTTCCCCTCCAGGGTCAAATATAAAATCCATGGCTTGGCTTTTAAAGCTCTCCATAACCTAGCCCCTTCCTACCTTTCCAATATTCTTATTCCTTACATTTCTCCCTACCACTCCCTTCCAAAACACTCTGCTATCCAGTTACATTGGCCTCCTTATATTCCTCAAATAACTCCAATCTCTTTACTCTGTACATTTGTACTGAGTGTTCCCCATCATGGAATTATCTCCCTCCTCATTTCCTCTACCTAGCTTCCCTGGCTTCCTTCAGGTCTCATCC